CAAATAGCCTCAAGCATCTCTCAAGGAGCTGCTGGGGGATTCGAACTTCCGATGACCTTGCTGTTTGCTTAGCTGTTCAATGCTCACCCGACAGCACCACCAGGGCCAACCAAAGGTGGGGGTTTGTTTAATCTTTGCCACGGAGTCCCTATCTTAAAAAATAACCGGCACACCACCAGTGTTCCCTGCAGCATTGTTCACAATAGCCAACAGGTGGGGAAAAAACCAGGGTCCATCAACTGAGGATGGACAAACAAAATGCAGGGTGAATATACAATGGAACATTGCACGGCCATCCAGAGAAATGGCGCTCTGATCCATGTGATGACACGGAGAACCCGTAATCTCTTTATACCGAGTGAAGCAAGGCGGCCATCAAAAGACAAACAGTGCAAGAGCCCAGTGATAGGAAACACTTGGAAAAGACATGCATAGAGACAAGAGTTTATCAGTGGTTACCAGGGTCTGGGGGAAGAGGGGACGGGAGTTCTGTTTGAAGGGATGGAAATTATCTGGCAACAAAGAGGGGTGATGGAGACGCAACTGGGTGAATGTAATTAATGTCACCCAACTTTACATTTTTAAGCTGGAGTCTGGTATCCTGTCATAAGAAACCATGTGAGAGAGAAATTGTGCAGCCTATGCCCAATCGAAACAGGAAAGGAAGATTCTCCACCAACATTTCCAGTCTTTTCCTTTGTGGATGCAAGTTCCTTGTATAAGACACAGAGGGGGAGGAACACCAATGTGCTCCTGTTTGCTTAACTCAGTAACTCCCTGCACGTGGCTTTCATGATCCCCGTGCATGCCCCATCACCACCTCCACCTGCGACGCGCTGAACAAACATTGTGATGGATGGGGGGAGCCTTGGTGAGCAGTTAGGAAAGGACCGAGATGAAAAATCTCAGCGAGGAAGCCAATTCCAGCTCTGTCAGGGTGCCTCAGCCTAGATTTACAGGGTCCCCACTGTTGACCCTGGCCTCCCTCAAGCAAGAAACAGCATGGCCTGAGCAGCAGGCTCACCAGAGAGCACCTAGATGGCCTCTCCAACAGCTTGCTAAGGTCTGGGTTGGCATGGAGACTCAAACACTTGCCAGCACAGGTTTTGAAGGAACCCTGTCTGGCTGAGAGGCCTGCTGGCCAGGAAAGCATGCTGCCTAACAGGAGTCACACTGACCCAGCAGCGTGATACTGCCCTCCAAAGACTGGACCTTCCACCATTAGGGGCATCCTAGCTGGGACCTTATTCAGTGTAGGAAAGCTGAGAAGCCAGAGGGCAAATTGACCCCAGCAGACCAGGAAGCCGTTAAGTATGGTGACCGGACGTCCCAGTCCCGATTTTTAACAATTTTTCCCATGTCCCGCGGCGTTTTTAAAAAGTCCCAATTTTTGGAAAGAATGCACGACAAGCTAGGGCATACGGTTTTCGGCTGCCATGTGGCTATTTCGCCAGGATATGAGTTTTATCCATGGTGTCCCGCTTTACCAATGTTAAAATCTGGTCACCTCACCGTTAAGCCCCTCCTCTCTTCTCCGTCAGTCCCAGTAGACCGACTGCCTGTGGTTGCGGTGCAGGCAAGGGGGCAAGCTTTGTGGATTGGTTGTCATTCTTGGACGGACATGGGTTGGGCTTGCATCTCTCTCACCATTTACTAGCTGTTGACCTGAAGGGAGTCCGAGTGGCATAGTGGGTTATGAGTTGGGCTGCCAACTACAAAGCCAGCGGTCAAAGCCACCAGCTGCTTCAGAAATGTTCTGTTCTCATAAAGATTTACAGTCTCAGAAACCCACAGGGGCAGTTAGGGCCACTCTGCATCACGAACAGGCTCCATGGCAGTGGATTTAGTTTCTGAGTTGTTGACCAGGGCCAAATAACTTATGTCTCAGTTTCTTCATCTGTAAAATGGGGACAGTAAGTGTGATGTCCTCTGTCACGAGGACTGTCAACAGAAAATGTGCTGCATATTCATACAAGGCACCCGTCATTCACGGTGGGTGCTCCTGCCAACCTGAGTGTTCCTCAGGGTTAGAACCATATTCTCATTTGTCCTTAGGCCCCCAAGCACCTACGTAGTAGATTCCTAACTGATATTAGCTGAGCGGGTAGCTACAGCAATAATCTCCTGTCTCTTGGCCGTATCAGCCACTGTGAGCTTGACGTGGAAGGTCTTTGAAGAGCTTTTCCCACAGGCACTTCACAAGAGCAACCCTGCTTCCTCTCCCAGAGTGGCGTCTCCCGAGCACAGTGCTCCAAGGCGTTCTCAAGCCAGGGAAGCTACCTGGGAAGTGTTTTGCATAACAATCCCCCACAGATCCCTGCCCCACTTTCCCCCCCATTCCTGATGAATTCATTGAACAGTTGGGCTGGGGCATACATCCTGCCTGTTTCTAAACACAACCTGTTCAGGAGCTCGTGTTCAATTCACAGTACTATTCTGTAAGCAACTATGTAACACACACACACACACACACACACACACACACACACACACACACACACCCGCAAACCCAGGAAACGAATGACGCCAGGTTAAGCTATTTCACTAAAACAGCAGGGATGCGTGTCTTGTTCCAAGCTCATGTGGTTTGTTCCTGCTGGGCACCTTCCCTTCATGGAAAGGGCTGGAATGGCAACAGCTTCCTGTTTGTCCATCAGAAGGCTGTGCTCTGGTCCTGGATAAGATAAGGAGCTCACATCAGAACATAACATGTGCATTTCTTCCTTCTTCAAAAAAGGAAGCAAAAAAAGGCAGCTCAACTAAACAGTGGGTTCAATGCCCACGTGGATGCTCAGTTCTGGTGCAATCTCCTCTCAGGGACAGATGACAGATTATACATGCACCTCCCATGGGCCACACGCCCAGAGGGCCACCCTAGGTGCCCAGACTCCCCATCCAGTGTGGATTGATGTAGACAATGGACTTTTAAGAGTTTTGTTTTTGATGAAGCACCCCAATATTAAGGTTTCACGTAGTCCTTAGTCATTCTGGGGGCCTGGGTGGGGTTCCCAATTTAGGGCCAACCAACAGGTGATGTGACTCACACCACAGAGAACCACTCAGGGAATTCATGGCCCAGGGTCAGGCAATCACCATGATTCCATCCCCTCCTTCATTTCAGACCTGTGATGAGCCGTGGCCCAAGCTGAGCCAGAGGGTCTTCTGGGCTCCCGTAGGCACTACCAGGAAGCCAGCCTCTTTCCGCTAGACTGAAGGTTGTGATGATGTGAGTCCTGGGTTGGTGGCATGAGAAGGGAGAACTGACGATGAAATGGAGCAAAAACAGAGAGAGCAGAACTGACATGAAGCGAGAGAGAAGTTAGAGTCTGACTATGTCCTGGGAATCTCTGGATCAAGCCATGCCTGAAGCAGAGGCCTGCCCTAGAACTTTTCAGTCGCATGTACAAAAAAATTTCCCTTTTGCTTTGTGAGCTTTTGAACGTGTGCAACCAAAGCGCCTGAAACTTTACCGCTCTACACGGCTGCTATCCCATGGGCTCGTTCTAAAATCCCCAGGTGCTGGTGTTAACGAGACAAATCTGGCTGGGCAAAACACAAGGAGCTGGAGGAGCTGCCACGATGCGACCAGAGGCAGGCTCCTGGGACTTTCTGAGCCTACGTTTCTTCCTCTGCTAGGCGAGGGACAAAGGCCTCACCCACCACCCCTCCCTCCCTCAGGTGATTGTGAGACTCACAGAGGAAGTCACTCTGGAAAAAAACACAATGCTAATTAGCATAACACGCCCCTTCATAGCAACTTCACATTCCTGGCATGCATCCCCCTCTAGATTCGAGGAAGCAATTTGAAGACTGAATCTTCGATTCTTTTCAGCAGATCCTATACTCTGTGTGACTGAAGAGGTCGCACGCCTTCTGCAGGCCTGAAAACCACGTGGAAGGGCAGGCAGCAGAGGTGCAGGAGCCGGCCAGACTCAGAGGCAGCCAGAAGCCTCATTTTCTGGGCCGAACACCACCATGCACTGAGGGTCAGTCCTTAGGCCCACCCAGGACGCTTCCTCCTGGCCGGCACACACCACCCCATCAAACTCGAGCTTATGAATTCTGAAGGAATAATGATGCTTTCATTGAGGAATTACACGGTCAGCCGCTCTGTCGCAAGGCCGAGGCCGCTGTCCTAATGATGGAGCTGTTCTCCAGTCAAGAGAACTTTGTTTGCTTTGAATGTTTTCATAGCTGATAGCTAAGGCAACAAGCTAACCAGTGAGCTTAACATGAAAGACTAACTTGTTTGGCAAAGCCTGCATTGTCGCATGTGCGTTCCTCTCCCCCTCCCGCACCCCCACAGAATCCACCTATGATAGATAGAGGCAGCTGGCCGTCAGGGGTTTAAGTCGAGAGATGACATCACAGAACGAATACCACCCCTGGTACTGACCTGCTTTCTGTCCAATGGCGGCATTAACAGATTCACTTTTGAGGGCAAAATAACTAGGTTTGGGGAGCTTCTTTAAGGTATCCTGCCACAACAGAGCTGAGTCTGGGGGGTGGTCGTGGGGGGCGGAATGTGAGAGGGCTCAGCAGACAACGTGCTTTATTCACGGGACCTAGGAACTGAGTGTCAAGTGTGCCGGGTCCTTTAAGCACATGGTAGCCAACACCCACCAAGTGTGCTGCCACTAGGCCAGAGTCCAAGAGCACGGAGGCCCGTATTGGGACAACCTGCACTGAGGTGGCAGGAGCTGGCCCTGCCCTTCCCAACTCCATGGGAAAGCATCCTAAGCAAAGCCTGTGAATGGCGGCTCCACACACTGGACACTCTCGGTTCCTGCTTCCAGGTGGAGATCTCCCCTGGCCCCTGGTGAGCTTCCATTCTGGAAGAGGAAGAAAAAGGTTGGCCTCTGGGCCAAGACCTAGGTTTCGATCTTGTTTTACCATTCCTAAAAGGGGCACTCGAGCCCCCAGTGGCCCAAGGCTCACTCCGTGAGAAGACAATGGCAGAGTGGTGATGAAGGGTTCCCCGCCAGACCCCGAGTACTCACCAGCCTGGACAGCGCCCTGGAGCCAGCATAGATGAGACCCACAAACAGCACGGACGCAGGAAGCCACGCAAAAACATCAGATCTGGAACGAGAAGGGGAAAGCCGTAACACAGTTATCACTTTGCCTAAAAGACGAAGCTGGAAGGAGGTGACCCCCTCAGATACAGCGAATACAGCCGCCGGGGTGGCCTCAACTTTTACTCCCTGGGTTCCTTACAAAGTTAGCTACGGGCTTGCCCTTGGATCCAGCAACTGTACTCCTAAGTATTTATCTGAAATGAGCTAAGAAAGGATGTAGACATAAAACCTGACCACCAATGTTTGTAGCAGCTTGAGTCATCATTTGAAAATTCAGAAGCAGCCAAGATGTTCTTCAATAAGTGAGTACATCCAGAAAATAGGGCATTACTCACTGCCATTGAATTGAGCTAACTCAGATTGACCCTATAGGACAGGGTAAAGCTGCCCCTGTGAGTGTCCGGGACTGCTCATGGAAGTAGAGAACCCCGTCTTTCTGCCATGGAACAGCGGGTGGTTCGGGACTGCTGACCTTGTGGATCACAGCCCAACAGGTACCTACTCTGCCACCAGGGATCCAATAGGGCATTGATTAAAAAGGTATCAGGTATCAAGTCATGAAAAGACAGAGAGAAAACAAATGTACACAGTTGAGTAAAAGAGAAACCACACTGAAGAAGCTACCTATTGTACCATTCCAACCACCTGGCATCCTGAGAAAGGCAGACCATGCGGGCAAGGAGAGGAGCCAGTGCTCGCTAGAAGGTCTGGAGTAGGAAGAAACAGGTGGGGCACAGGGTTTTAGGGCAGTGGGCCTATTCTACATGACACTAGACACATGGCAGTACGCGTTTGTCACACTCCTAGCACTACACAGTACGAGTGAGCCTAATATTAATAAGTACTGTAGACTTTAGCTAATAGTAAAGAATCACTATTAGGAGCCCTGGCATAGTGGATTATGCATTGAGCGGCTTAACCACAAAGTCAACAGTTAGAAACCATTAACCACTCCTCGGAGGAAGCATGAGGCTCTCTGCTCCTGTACATATTTACAGCTTTGGAAACCCAAAGGGGCAGCTCTACTCACTCGGTCTTATAGGATTACTATGAGGCAGAATTCATGTAATAGCATGAGTTTGTTTGTTTTTGTATTGAGCCATGCAAAAGATATACACGGCCAAGAAGCAATTATTTGAACAGAACAAAGCAACACTGAGTGGTTTAAAGTCAGGAAAGGTGTATGTAAAGGTTGCACCCTTTCGCCATACTTCTTCAATGTGTATATTGAATGAATCATCCCTCAGCTATGTGAAGAACATGGCATTAACATTGAAGAAAGGCTCTTTAACAACCATGATATGCAGATGACACAACCGTGCTTGTTGAGAGTGAGAAAGACTTGAAGCACTTGCTGAAGACGATCATGAGTAATGCAGCCTGCATTACTGATTACAGCACAAGTTAAAGAAAACAAAAATCCTCACGAGAACTGGACGAAGAGACAACATCACGATACTTGGAGAAATGACTGATGTTGCTAAGGATGTCATTTTGCTTGGATCCAAAAGCAATGCTCATGGACCCAGCAGTCAATCGGAGAGTAAGGATGTCACTTTGAGGACTAAAGTGTGCCTGAACCAAGTCACTGCATTTTCAACACCGCAAACGCGTGTGAAAGTTGGACAGTGAATAAAGACGACCAAAGAAGAGTCGATGCAACGGAATGTTGGGGCTAGATAAAAATACTGATTGCCAGAAGAACAGACAAACCCGTCTGGGAAGTGCAGCCAGATGCTCCTTAGAAGCAAGGCTGGCGAGACTTCATCTGACATACTTTGGACATGTCAGGAGAGACCAATCCCTGGAAAAGAACATCATGCTCGGTAAGGTAGAAGGTCCGCAAGCAAGATGAAGACGCTGAAGGACATAAACTGATACAGGCGCTGCAGCAATGGGCTCGAACGTCACGCTGGTGAGGTGGTGCAGGGCAGGGGCAGAGTCCCAGTCTACCGTAGCCAGGGTCACTCGCTAGCACGTGGAATCGATTCAACAGCACCGAACAACAACAGATCATGGCTTACACAAACCATCACCAGGACACAGCTGTTTGTGACAGAAGAACCTGTATGGGGGAGGGATGATATTTGGAAACTTTCTGTACTTGATACACATTTTTACTATAATCCTAAAACTGCTCCAAAAGGTCTAATACATTTTTGCAGCTGTCTGACTCATTCCTTGTGATTCACTCTTATCACTTAGCAGACTGGAGGAGACAGCGAAGCTATCTACCTACAGTCTGTCCCTGCTACCACCACCAGTCCCCCAAATAGGGCATAATGAGCTAGAAACTGAAACGGTTTGGCTGCAGGATGGAGACAAGGTTCAGTGGGTAGTGAACATTTGTGTTTGGATTCTAAATAGTCCAGAAGCTTTTGATTCATGCCAGATCATTAAAAATAGATGATTTTATCTTGATATGATTAAACTAATGAATTATGTGATGTGTGGATTAAGTGCCAATAAAACTTTTTTTAAAAATTGGTGATTTTGCCCAAATAATCTATCAAACAACTCCATGAAACCACAACGAAAAGAACTATAATGTCACAAGATTGAAATTTTTTTTATTAATAAATCATTTTCTTGGGCTCTTACAACTCTCATAACAATCCATACATCAATTGTATCGAAGTCATTTGTACATGTTTCCATCATCATTTTCAAAACATTTTCTTTTCTGCTTGAGCCCTTGGTATTAGGTCCTCTTTGTTGCCTCCCTCCCCTCCTCATGGGCCCCTGATAAATTATACATTATTATTCTTTTCATATCTTACAGCATCCTGTCTCCCTTATCCCACATTCCCATTGTTCATCACCATAGGGGGTGGGTTAGACATCGATCATTGTAGACAGTTCCCCATTGCTCCCCTCCCTCTACCCTCATGGTATCACTACTCCCATTACTGTTCCTGAGGGGGTTTATCTGTCCTGGATTCTGTGCATTGAGAGCTTTTATCTGTACCAGTGTACATGTTCCAGTCTACCTGGATTTGTAAGGCAGAACTGGGATCATGATAGTGGAAGCTAAGGTTGGGGGCCGGGGGAGGAAACATTAAAGAACTAGAGGAATATTGTGTGTCATTGGTGGTATGCTGCACCCTGGCTGACTCGTTCCTTCCTTGTGACCCTTTTGTGAGGGAATGTCCAATTGTCTAAAGATGGGCGGTTTTGGGTCTCCACTCCGACTCCCATCATTTGCATCAACATATTTTTTTAAAGGCGGGGTGGGAGAGTTGGGGGTGGGGAGGTTCACCTTAGAACGTTCAACCCTCTGAGATCAAAAGGGCAACATCTGCCCACCAAGGCAGGAAGGTTAGGAAAGAAAAAGAAGAAACGGAGCTGGGAGACCCAGGCAGGAGGTACAATGTGTGAAATTACATTGTGGAGACTGTAATCAATGATATGAAACAGAATGTGTGAATTTTTTAACGGAAAACAGATTTCTTCTGTAAACCTTTACCCAATTCGCAATACAAATTTAAAGGAAAAGGAAGAAGGCTACAATGTCCTGCTCTGACTTCTTCAGCCATCGACCTGGCATCGCCAGAATGTCAGTTCAGGAAACCCTGAAGGACTTCTTAGGGGACACTGCTTTCATTCAGTTATGGTCAGGCCAAGAACTGCTTTTTCATTACAGTGCAGACTCTTGTTCTCTTCCAGCAAAGCAAAGCCCAGGCTTTGGATACAGGGCCTATCACTGAGGTTGCCACAGGCATCCTCCATCCTACATAGAATTCCTAGAGTTCTTCTGCTAATGGATGGAAATAAAAGAAACCATTCCAGCAAGACATACCATAACAACCCCAGGTAACACAACAAGCTGCTCTCCCGGGATGGGTGCCCACTCAAGGAAGGCTCTTTTGTTCATTTCATTAGCCGGAGCAGGCAGTCCATCCTCAGTCAGGCCTGCCTGCTTCTGCACAACTGCCAGAGGAATCTAACACTAAACTGCTTCCCATCTCTACAAAGGCCTTCACATCCACTGGCTACATCATATTCAGCAAATACTTCACGAGACGTGCAAGGAACTGAAAACCCAAGTATTACTATTAGTAGCAACATCAGGAGTTAACAACTATGGAGCACTTGCTATAACCAAAAATATTTCCTATGCTTTGTCTTTTTTGAATGTGCACAGGAATCTGGTGGGGGAGGTATTATTATCCCCACTGCGCAGGTGAGGAAAATGAAGTTCAAGGCTTGAGCAGCTTGCATAAAGTCTGACTGGCTGGTAAATGACAAAGCTACAATCTGAATTCAATCCATCTGACTAGAAACCCTATCTTCTCGTGGTACTCTTCTACACTTGTGTTCTCATATAACTCATAATCTAATGGAAGACACTAAAATACCCATACATAGAGTGTAAACACGGCATGATGAATAGTCCCTGTCATTCTGCTCCAAAACATGTATGTCTGACCTCCAACCAAAAGATGAACAGAGAAAGGAGATGGCCGATCCTCCCTGGGGGACGGACAACAGAAAAGTGGGTGAAGGGAGACATCAGACAGGGCAATATGACAAAATAATAATTTATAAATTATCAAGGGCTCATAAGGGGGAAGGGAGCGGGGAGGGAGAGGAAAAATGAGGACCTAATGCCAGGGGCTTAAGTGGAGAGGAAATGTTTTGAGAATAATGAGGGCAATGAATGTAAGTATGAATTGTGATAAAAGTTGTATGAGCCCCTAATAAAATGATTTTTTTAAAAAAAGAATCAGCAACAAGCTCAACAAAACAGAAAAAAAAAGAGTTGTACAATTATCACCACATGCAACTCTAGAATATATTCTTCTTCCTTGTATTGTTATTCATATAATTATTTTTTGCTAATTATGACAAAAATATAGACAACAAAACATTCTCCAATTCAACAACATCTACATGTGTAATTCAGGGCCACTGATGATACTCTTCGTTGCACAACCATTATTGATATCCTTCTCCAAATGATTCCACCACCATTAACATAAAATCAATGCCCCTATGCAGTAA